ACTATTGCATTGTGCCAACCTTCCATTACATTATGTCAACTCTTTATGACATTAACCCACACTACTATTGCATTGTGTCAACCTTCCATTACATTATGTCAACTCTTTATGACATTAACCCACCCTACTATTGCATTGTGCCAACCTTCCATTACATTATGTCAACTCTTTATGACATTAACCCACACTACTATTGCATTGTGTCAACCTTCCATTACATTATGTCAACTCTTTATGACATTAACCCACCCTACTATTGCATTGTGCCAACCTTCCATTACATTATGTCAACTCTTTATGACATTAACCCACACTACTATTGCATTGTGTCAACCTTCCATTACATTATGTCAACTCTTTATGACATTAACCCACACTATTATTGCATGTTAACTTTCCTTTACATTATATCAACTCTTTATGACATTTACACATACTACAATTTTATTTCGTCAACTTGCATTTCGTTATGTTTACTTTTCATGACAATCTTAGTTTTTATTAACTGATGTGAAAAGCTCATGCCATACTGTGCGCACTCTTCCACATTATGTCGATTCACTATTACGTTATGCGAACGCGGATATCCTCGGCCTTTATATGAGCATAACGTATTTTCCGCGTTCCGCAAGCACTAAAATGGCGGGAGAGAAAACTGTCGTAGGAGAGATTCTCAGCGATTTCGGAATGACATCTTTAAATGAAAACTTTAAGCGACAAATGATTGACAATCTTGAAACATGCAAAGCCTTAACACTGCGACTGTGAATTAAAGTCACGTCGAAATTCAATGGTGTTTACTTTAATCTGATAATTAAATAAATCAAATATTATGAGTCGTGCAGCAATCATTTTTTTCTTTTTATTTTGAATTTTTTTTTTTTTTTTTTTTTTTTTTTTTATAAAAGTCTTAAACTTTGTAGGACATTGCATTAGTTTCACATTAAGTTTAGCTGAATTAAGTTGAAAACTTTTTTCTATAAAACTATAAAGCCTGAGAGCTTCTCCGCTTTCCGCCCTTGGTCTCCAACCATATACCGTCCCCCTTCCTTGTTCAAGATTCCCATATCTGCCACTGATATGTGCCCATGCATGCTTACTAAGGCATATTCAATTGATTTAGATGAGCGACTGGTAGATTTTTGTAATAGAATTCTGGCCCTGGAATGATTGAAAAAAATTACTAACTCCAGTGACATAGCATAATTTTTTTGAAAGAGGAGGTCAGCCAGTAAAAAAAATCATTTATCCGAAAAAACTAGACAAGCCAAGAAAAAAAATGTCCAAGCCCGAAAATCCTATTTCGGGGAGAGTGGTCCAACTTCAATCAATCCTATTTTTTTCCAGATATATTATATTACCCTTAGTGGACTATATTTCAACAAGAAGTGGGGGTGGGGTGGGGGGCTGTACAGTTTCAATGAACATTACATTTTCTATAGTAAAGTTATGTCTGGGAAAAGAGGGGGGTTGATATTATGTGCCTGTAATTTGTCCTAATCAATCACGACCCCCCCCCCCCCTTCTTACCAGTCATTAAAACACGGTCGTCAACATTTATTATATACTAGATATACAGCTTTGAGATAATGTAAATGTATTTTTGCATCAGGTAATGAACTTGGAATCCACATGATAAAGAGTTAACACAATATAAAGATATTTTTAAATCACATAAGAAAGAGTTGGCATAACGTTATAATATATCCACATCACGGTATGGAGTTTTGACATAATCATATAAATGTAATAAAGTGTTGATATAATATAAAGATATGTTCACATTATGTTATACACTTTTTACACCACGTAATAAAGCACTGACATAAAGGTAAGATGTGTTCACCTCACATCATGATGCCCTCGCCGTAAAATAAAGATAAATCCATATCACGTAATAATACTTTGATATAATAGAAATATACACTCTCAAAAAGGAATGGGCTTTTGACTTCATGTGATGATAAGTTTAATTATAAAACACAATTTACTTGACGTAATGCAATTTTGACCTCACATATTAAAGAAATGAAATGATGTAAAGAAACATTCATTTCACATAATAAAGTTTTAACACAATGTAAACACATTATCACTTCACATAATGAATTTTTTACTTCAAGTTATGAAGTGCTGACATAATGAAAGGATGTATTTACTTCATGTAATGCAGCATTGACATGATGTTAAGATATATTTTCATCATCCCATAAAAAATGGACATAACGTAAAGATATGTTCACATCACGTAATGATAAATTGACGTAATAAATGCATAGTTGTATGCTATAAGGCAGTGATGGCGATAAATTTTTTTGACGTAATAGTCAATGCATAGTATATTGAACAAAATAATGTCATATTAAAAGGAGAAGAGCCGACAAACGTGTGCTGACACTTAATTTAACAAAAAACATGTTCCAAACAAACTTCTTGCTTCCATTGTTACGACTTTGATTGACCTGTTTAATATTACAATTCATTACGTGATGTCCACCTGCGAGTGTACTCGTGGAAACAGTTACATTGTATTCTTCAACCTGACTTAAATGTAAATCACTATGTTTGCTGTCGTTTTCAGAATTTAGCACATTAAATGTTGTTTTAATTTTGCGTGTCCCCACATTTAAAAAAAATCATAATGACATCGCTGTAATATTCCAAACACGTATTCGAATTTCTAGAGAGAGAGAGAGAGATGGAGAGAGAGAGAAATGTCAACAATGACACCGATCGATAGCCCCGCCTTCTATTAATATTGATAGCGCGACCTAAAAACCACTCCGGGTACATGTCAAATTCCGGAAGACGACACTAATGTATCCTTGTTTCAATTTTGATTCATGGCAATAAGGCATTGCTTTTGTACATAAGATCTAGCTAAAATAACCATGTATACGTCGCTCTTTCTAGTGGTTGTAATATATTTTGGATTCACTTTATTTTCAACTTGTTAGAGTAGTCTCAAAAAGATCCAAAATAGGGCGTTAAGTCCACCCATTCTTTGTTCTTTATTGTCCAAAGTATGATCAATATAGATGCAATTATTATACAATTATTGCTGTTTTTTTTTAGGTCAATATGATGATTTAGACACCTGAGGAGTACAATATTCACTGAGCCAGTATTTTCTTCTGTAAATTTTGTATCCTCTATATAGTAGTTCCATCCTTTGCCCAGATGAAGTTGAACAAAATTGAATCTGAACTGTTATGAAGCTTTCACACATTCAGTTTGATCTTTTCTGAGCTAGTGATTATTTAGATTTTCAAAAAATGTTACTATTGATTTTCACCAATTATTTCCCTTTGAGAATGAAAGTGGACTAATTAAGGTCTTCCGTTTCCAACGGAAGACCTTCTACTGATTCTGTTGGTAAAGATTATTAGGGTCTTCCGCTTCCTTCGGAAGACCCTACTGTTATTCTACTGTTTCTTATTATTATTTTATTTTTTTTTTCCCGCTCGATTTTTGACAGGCGATTTCTCAAAGACCTTTGGACTGATTTTTATGAAACTTTCAGGTTAGATACCATGTAATTAAACCTATTTACACCTGTTTTCAATTTTTTGATGCATGCCTTGAATTGTGAGTTATTGCCCTTTAATTGATAATTTTGATGTCTCGTTTCCACTAAAAATCTCAAGAACGACGTAAGATATTTACACGAAAGTTGGAGAACTTGTAGCCAATACATTTTAGATTTGCAGAACGATAAAATTATAAGCTGATTTCCTAAAGTTTGGAAGCTATAAAACGGCAAATTTTAGTAATTTCTTTTCTTGAATTTTTGCTACTTTTTGTGTAATAACTTTTGAACCGAGAATAATTTGGTAAGAAATATATAACAAAAGTTGTGTGTAATTACGAGAGCTTTCATATTAGATTAATGAAAAGGGGCTGGCCCCTATAATTAGGGGTTAATATAGCTCAAACACGTTTTTTCTGATAGCTAAAAATATTGGTATATTATGAAAAAGTTTGACTGAAATAATTTCGTTCTTATAAAATCTTGTCATTTGATATAAAAAGAAATAAACTTCCAGCTATATTTAATTGTTTTTTATATAAAACAAGTACATGTATGTGAGAAACCTTTCAGGAACAAGTTGTCTACTATAGATAGTTTTCGATAGGCCTGAATTTAGTGAAAGTTACCTCCCGTTGGCCGCCATATTGGAGGTCGACTCAGTGATTTTCCCTCTTTGTCTTACCAAGTTTAAGAAAATATAGCAGAAATATTTGGTGGAAAATCTTTATCAAATAATTTTTTTTAAATAAAGGAGGCTTCCAAAAATTTATATACTTCAGAAAAATAATGATTTCTAATTCAAAATAGCAGATATAAAAATTTTAAATTGGTTGAACAATGAAGGAATATGAGCATTTGGACCTCCAGTATGGCGGCCAACGGGAAGTAACTCTTGGTCAATCGAAAACTATCTATAGCCAGCCAAGCCTTTACTGCATACATGTGCACATTTTTAGTTGATGCATCTAAAAGATATAGTTTTGATTCGGTGTTTCTTTGTTTTCTTTTTATTCAAATAATTTTAAAATGTGATGATGTACACAACAATAATTAGTACATAGTTTAGAGGATTTTTTCGCGCTTGTTTGTAAACAACGCGCGGCATTGTGGGAAATAGGAAGGTACTAAAGACGCGATGTACTAAACACTTATTTGACCTGATTCAAATTTGTCTGTAAATGTTCCAAACAATTGGATTTTTGTATAGCATATGCCTCGATGTCATAAAGTCTGTACATAAGTAATTTGAAATACTCAATATTACCATTTAATTAAAAATTAAAACGTCAGGTAAATATCAGGTCTCTAGTATATCCCGTTTTTAGTGTGCCCCTTCGAGTCGACGTCGGACACATGTTTGTCAAGGTTTACAAACTGAAAATAGAATGATTTGTGAAGTTGAACATTTTCTCACAAAGAATCCGTTTGTAGACATGCACACTCATTTAATCTGGAGCTACGAAGATTCAAGTACTTTGTCACTTCTGTGGAACATTATTCTAAGCAGAATTATCCCGATTCATATATTCTAAGAATCTTGTGTGAATTGTTTACGAGGAAATTCCGACTGTCACATTAACAAGGATGAACACTCTTGACTCTGCTTTGGATTTCCCAGTGATAATTGTATCTAGTGATGAAAGAGCTGACGGCGACATTTTAATGTATGATTGGCTTGGACCATTGGAATGAAGGTTAGAATATTTTTATTACTTAAAATTTACACTACTGATTACATGACAGTGACGTACATTGATGTTATTAGAAATACACAGACACACCGATATATTATCTGTTTTACAGTTCAGACGCTCTCTGTTTGCCTTGTAAATCCCCACAGCTTTATATTTTATTTTTTTTAAATTTGAGGATGTAATTTCAACAGTCCTACTATCTATCATAGTGATCATACGTACTCTATAATTCAAACTGCACTTAATGTTACAGAATATATTCAACTAATTATATATTGACCAGGGCTCGACATTAACACTTGTCCGCTTGTCCGGTACCAATGAAAAATAAATTCGGACAAGTGAATATTGCTGGGCACTTGTCCGATTGGACAAGTGCATTTTAATGTAAAGGGGTCTCTAAAAAATAAAAAGAAAGACTGTTGAAATCTAAATCTGTAGTCTAAAGACGGAAGCGGTACATAAAATCCAAACTTCGATCCCGATATATTTTGCTATATTGAGTTCACATTCGATCGGGATCGAAGTTCACTAATTGCATACTACTGAAAAGTCATGGAAGATACGAATCGAATAATGAATATTGTTTAATGTTGACAGGTTCACTTGTGGACATTTATGTAATTGTCAGGACTGAAAGCCTAAATTAAATTTCGTTTTATGTGTCTGTTGTATTTATCAATTACATCAAGAATCAATCAAGCGCATGACATGTGTAATAAAATGGACTTAATTTTAACTATTGAACTTTATTGAAAATTTTCGGACAAGTGAAGTTGAAATTCGGACAAGTAAATGTCTTGGTCACTTGTCCGAATGGACAAGTAGGAATAAAAGTTAATGTCGAGCCCTGTTGACAGTGTGACTGTAAGGGTGAGGGCAGATACTTATTTAGTTTTAATTTAGATTGTGCTTGTCAAGCCGCATTTGACATTTGGTGCATCCATGCTCAATGTTCACACTGAGAGTTTATTCAAATGTTTAATTCGAATGAATTCACTGTCGTTAAATTACTTCCCATTAGCTCCATGTGAACATGAGTAAGGATAGCTAATTCAAATTAAATAGAAATGAATTTTGAATGTAGCTTAAACATGTTAAAGAAGCTAAGCACTGTGTGTCCAAAGTATACTGCGGAAAAATTGTGTGGAGCAATGTGCAAGTCACAATCTTCTTTTGCCAAGGTGTTATCATAAGAGCTCGCATTATGGGCAGGGATTTGTGCTGCTGTCTGGACTCGCTATAAATAGATGTTCTCAAAAAGTCTTAATTATTTAATATCATACTTTACTGACAAAAAAGGACAAATATTGCTCAGTTAAATTGCAAAAGAAATTTGTTTAAAAAAATTGTAATAATAGAAAGTTTGTTTTTTTTGTTTGATAAGACTGCTGTAATGGTTTAATGTTTGTTTATTTGCCTTAATCAGTCAGGGGTGGTACTGAAATCAGTCATTTTTGAAAATGATGGATAATGGTCATTTCTTCTAAGTATATAATGTACACAATTTTCTGATTTTTGTAAATATGACGTCTTTTCATCATATTTCCATTCTCAAGTCAATTTTCCCATCCCATTTACTACAGTAATTAGATATAGTACACTATCCTGCCATAGACCCTTGTGTAGAGAAACATCTTGACAAGTAATTGAAACCAAAATAATTTAGTGCGCCCCGTAAAACTAATGAGATAATTAAGTGCGCCCAGACCTAACAATTTGATAAAAAATGATGAAAAACAGTCATTTTTTTAAATCAGAGATAACTCTATTTCTAAAATAAATTTCAAAATAGAAATGACTGTTTTTCATCATTTTACTAAAAAATGATGAATTTCCATCATTATTAAAAATCAATTTAATGACTGAAAATCATCATTTTTAAAAATGATGGATTTCAATCACACCCCTGACTGTTAATCATACATTTTTCAGTCATTTCATGGTGCCACCACTTGGGATGGTATTAGCTGCAAATATAGACTTGTACTCAGCACTTATTGCCTTTAAGAAGTATGAGATCCATTTTGTGCTAACACCTACCGTGACACAGAATCTTGGTTTATGCAGTCTCATAGGAGTAACCTGTCTAAAGCATTTAGCAATGGGATTGGAACCTGCGACGTAAGGTTCAGCTTCTTATTGATACTTATTTATAATATTTATTTGAGAATTTCACTCATTCACATACTTAGAGATGTTGATATATATTGTTGAATAGCATCAATTTAGACCTTTAATTAGCTAAGTAAACATGTACTGTGAGGTTTTTAAGGTCTCATTCATTTTATATGCCAGATGCATGTTAAGGAACATTACTGCATAATGTTTTTGTCTTAAATTTGAAGCTTTTTACTAATATAGAGATATGTTAGTTTTAAACCTCTTCAAATTAGGGTAGACCTTTACTTTAAACTCAGCAATGTGAGTGTGTTGTGTGAACTTGTGTTAGCGAGACAGTGTGTTGTATGAATTTGTGTTAGCAAGGCAGTGTGTTTTGTGAACTTAATTGCTGTGTTAGCCTGACAGTGGGTTGTGTGAATTCTTGTTAGCTTGACAATGTGTTGCGTAAACTCGTGTATAAAGTGTAAGTGTGACAGTGTGTTGTGTAAACTCGTGTTAGCTAGACAGAGTGTTGATTGAACTCGTATTAGCGAGACTTCGTGTTGTGTAAACTGGTGTGAGTGAGACTGCGTGTTGTGTAAACTTGTGTTAGCGAGACTGCGTGTTGTGTAAACTCATGTTAGCGAGACAGCGTGTTGTGTGTATTCTTATTAACGAGACAGCATGTTGTGTGAATTCGTGTTAGCGTGACAGTGTGTTGTGTGAGCTTGTTATCCTGAAAATTTGTTGTGTGAACTGGTGTTAGAGAGATAGTGTGTTGTGTGAACTCGTGTTAGCAAGATTGCATATTGTGTGAACTCGTGTTAGCCAGACTGCGTGTTATGTGAACTCGTGTTAGCGATATTGCATGTTTTTTGAATTTGTGTTAGCGTGACAGTGTGTTGTGTGAACTCGTGTTAGCCTGACAGTGTGTTGTGTGAAATGGTATTAGGATGACAGTGTGTTGTGTGAAATGGTATTAGGATGACAGTGTGTTATCGCAACAGCGTTTGGTGCGAACTTGTGTTAGTGAATAGTGAGACAGCCTGTTTTGAGAATTCGTGTTAGCATGACAGTGTGTTGTGTGAACTCGTGTTAGCCTGACAGTGTGTTGTGTGAAATGGTATTAGAATGACAGTGTGTTGTGTGAAATGGTATTTGGATGACAGTGTGTTATCGCAACAGCATTTGGTGCGAACTTGTGTTAGTGAATAGTGAGACAGCCTGTTTTGTGACTTTGTGTTAGCGTGACAGTGTATTGTGTAAACTCGTGTTAGCGTGACAGTGTATTGTGTAAACGCGTGTTAGTGAGACTGCGTGTTGTGTTAACTCATGTTAGCGTGACAGTGTGTTGTGTGAATTCATCTAAGCGTGACAGTGTGTTGCGTGTACTTGTGTTAGCTAGACAGTGTGTTGTATGAACTTGTATTAGCCAGACTGCGTGTTGTGTAAAACTTGTGTTAGCGAGACAGCGTGTTGTGTGAACTTGTGTTAGCGAGACAGCGTGTTTGTGAATTCGTGTTAGCATGATAGTGTGAACTCGTGTTAGCCTGATATTTTGTTGTGTGAAACTGTATTAGCCTGACAGTGTGTTGTGTGTTAGTGTGACAGCGTGTGGTGCGAACTTGTGTTAGTGCGAAAGTGTTTTTCAGTGTTGTGATGGCGAGCTGTGTGATAGCCTAATGGCGTCTTTTGTGTCGGTAAGATGGCACGCTTTTATGAAAGTGCTATTGAGCTTTAGCAAGTGTCCCTATCTGGACACGCCTTATTATAATTGATCAGTTCTCAGATATACAGTGAATTACCGGTATTATTGTCACCATGAAATCAGCATTTACAGTTGCAATTACCTAGTTAGTAATCATAAGATATTGGTTTGTCAGTTTTAAAATTATGGTGTTCCAATGATGTGAAGTTGCAGTGTGTTAGCATGTTAATTTCAACAGACTGCCACTCCAATGCAGCTTTAAACAACACGCTGCTGTGTTAACACAAAACAAAATATCATGCAAACACAACTTTAAACAATCTGTTGAGTGTTAGCTTCACTGCATGTTGGATTCAGTATGCTGGCATATTATCACTGACGTACATGCTAGCACATTGTCACCTCGTGCTAGTATGTTGTCATAAATACTCTAGCACATTATCCTAAACCCACTTGTGCATGATTACTTTGCACTTGTATGTTGTCTTAGGGAATAGCATAAATGACTGCCTTAATTGGTGTAAACTTCTTTTAATTGATGAAAGAGTACATTAAAATTTACAAATTATACACAGAAAATGTGACAATATCTTATCTCTCAATTTGATAATCTAATTTATAATCTCATGAATTGCACTTTTTATTAGTAAAAGAATTATAGATTAAAAAATTTCAATTTCTTTTGGATAGGTGTGACTCATCTGAAGACTGAATTTTTATACCAAGCATGACCATGATTTGCCAGAAGATCATCTGTTTGGATGTGACATGGAATAAACAGCATAGTGAAAATAAGTCAAGTTTTGGTTTGTGAAGACAATTTTTAAACACACTGTGTATCATTTTTAAATTTTGATTTGACAACATAAATCCACAAATATGAACATATCAATTGCTCTCAGTTTTTCAAGTGAAATAGTTTTTGTAACAGAAATACATGTACCAGTAATTACATTGGAATAAATGTTATTTTTAAATATAATAATATTTTGTTTGTGTAGCATGTTGACCTCTTTATTAAGGTCTTCCCTTTCAAAGTTAAGACTTACTTATTCTAATGATTAAGATAGATCCTCCGTCTTCAGCAGGAATAGAAGATCTTGTAATACATGTATGTGTATTTTTTACAGTATAATGTAAAAAAAATTGTTATTTTGGCACATACAACTAATTAAAGGCATAAACATGTGTATGATTCCAAGGAATTCAGTACATAGGGCATGTACATGTAGTTTTCAAAAACAAGATTGAAGAGAAGTCCAGTCGCATTTCAATGTCAACTGCAAAACTGTGCCTGTTGCATACTTATTAGCCCATCTGAGCTAAAAGAACCAGTAAATCTTTTAAAAACATAATTTTATCCATTATCATCATTGTCTAAAATTTCACAATATCATTTTCCAGAACCAAAGTGAAACTTGGCACAGAGCATCCTTAGTGTAGGGGATTCAAATTGTTCTTATGCAGGGCAATACCTTCAAAGAGATTTGTTTCTTTAATGCTGTAAATGTATTATGTTTAGCTTGTACAATATTTGGTGGAAATTGACTTTTGAATAAGTTAGCGTAGATATTCTTATTTATGTTTATGTACAAGACTTTTAGCTTTGTACTTGATTTAGTGATTGCTGCATTCCGCCAAAGCCGCTAAAAAAGAATACACAGCCATATGTAATATGTTTACAATATACCTTTCAGAGAATTTTACACTCCTATTGAGGTACCACCAGTTGCTAGTGGAAAGCTTCAAATTCGAAACATACACAACACATTTCTGTGCGTTTATTATAAAAGTATTGTTCTACTTACTGATTGCATCTAATGAAGATTGTTCATCATTATTGTAAATACATTTGGATTTTTTGAATTATTATATAATTTGTTTATTTTATTTACCTAGTTATATTGTATATTAAATGATTTTAAAGCCATTTTTAAGATGGTAATGTAGCAAAACACTTATGTTTCTGTAGTATGACACGTTTCACAAACATAATTGCAACAAACATGATATATCCGAAGTTAAACTGTTGTGGATACGATTTCAAGAATGCTGTTAGAGAGAGTACCCTTTAGACCTCATGCTCACACCAAATTAAAGAATTCAAGTAAGGGTTTTTGAGACAAATTGAAAAAGAGAATGTTAGCAAAGTTGACAATCTAGACAGAAACATTTAATCTTTTGCTTATCGCTAGGAAGGAAGACCCACTCGTTGCTTTGCAACGAGCTTTGCTCTAGTTATTCTTTTTTTTTCTTCTGCTTCCTAGACCGCAACTTTGAGGCCTCATATCTCGCTCATTTCTCAACGGATTTCGCTCAAATTTTCAGACGTTATGGACGTTAATAAACTCTATCAGAATGATGTCTAAAATTTCAAAATGCCACTTCCGGTTTTGAGTTATTTCCCTTTAAAGGAAAACTTATAGGCTTCGTTTCCAGACAAAGGCTCAGAGACGGCTAAAGCTGGAGCAGAAATTCTACTGATTTTAGAAAATAGAAGGATTAAAGTTGTGCACATCAGTTTTTGTTTTTCGATGTCTGTATTCAAAATGGCGCTATATAGGGGTCAAAAATTAGAACGCTTAAAAGAACCAAAAATTACTCATATTTTTCTTTTTATCTTCTAAGCTAAAAATATTTTGTAAAAATATATGGAACATAATTTGTACAGAATTAGAAGATCTTTCAAATGATATGTCGAAAAAAGGGCTGACCCCTAAATTAAGGGACCTAGAGGGGCCAAAAGTTTTTTCCAGATATCTCAAAAAGTATTGAGAATTTGTTATGCATCAAAGAAGCAAAGTTGTTCAAAATATCAAGCTTTATCTAATGGGGTCGTCAAAATACGTCCGGCGACGTCACTTCCGGTCGAACCGGAAGTAGTCAGAAAATGCATATTTTTGCCGTTTTTGACAGGTTTTTGGGTAACATGTCCCACTAGAAGCTTAAATATTAATTTTCCGTCCGTCGTCGTCACTTCCGGTCAAAACGGAAGTACCCAAGAATGGCTTAATTTTGTTATACTTAACATAGATTTTGAGGATTAACCCATTTTTGGACTTCATTACTCTTTTTTTTTTTTAAATGAAAGTTACTTCCGGTCAAACAGGACGGAAGACCTACTCGTTGCTTTGCAACGAGCTCGGCTCTAGTTTAAAATATCCTTTTCCAAGGGTTTCTTTATGGCAAGTTTCTTTGCAATTGGCCCTGGTCAGTAATGCTGGAGAAGTGTCTAAAATGTGATAAAAGTTTACAGACTAAACACATAAAAAAACATCAATCAGAAAAGATCACCATCAATGAATCTTTGGCTCAGGTGAGCTATTTTATTTAAACACCAAATAACATTTATTTAAGCCTGCAGGTCTCTGTTTTTTTAATATCTATCTAATCTTTCCACATTAATATTTAATTGTCTTTCCTCTGATTCAAATAAGCATAAACTTCATAATAAATCCATGGAATAAATAAGTGAGAAATATAAAACAAGACTTCAATGTGTTTGGATTTTTATGTACACATATAAATACAAGACAGAGTTGTACAACAGATACTCGGTCAAGTCTTCAGGAATAAAATCACAATATCAACAAGCACTAGAAAGCATTAACGAATCACAGCTTCTGCCATCATCAGGAAACCAATAGCCAATCAGATGTTATGATTCTCTCAACATACAGTTATCATCAGAAAATAAACAGCCAATCAGAAGTAATGATTCTCTCAACAATTGGTCATGTTCCTTGGGACAGTACCTTACCACAGGGCTATCAAAAAGAAAAAGAGACTTCATTACAAAGATCTCATTTACTATGACTTTGATGCTTGACATATATAATTAAAAATGTAAAATGAAATTACACTTATAGTAAAAGGATTGTCATACATGCACATTGCAGTTTTAAAACTTATTTACAAACTTCTTAGTTGTAATGAATAATATCTGTAAATAAATGACTTTGCTCTACTTTACAGCCATAGATTTAAATTAGGTATAATCCATACAATTTACCTTAATAAATATATGGGTTGGTAACATCTTCTGCAGTGTGGGATCTATTGGGTCAGGGTATCGCAGAAGAGTGAAGTTTATTTTGGGAAGATTAACATGACCTGCCACCAAGGGAAACAAGTTGTACTTTAATTCGTACGGCACCCCTGGCAAGACTCGGAAGTGAAACTACAACAATAGATACTCATAATTAAAATCTCCAGGCAGAATATTGTCCTATTAAATTATAAATTATTTCAGCAACCTTGGTTTGCCAAGAATTATACAAGTCTACTAAGAAACATTTCCTGTTAAATCAAAGAAAATGGAGTTTCAAAGGATGGTTTAGTTGTCATTTGATAAAAAATAATTCAAAGAGATAAATTTGAAAGAATTCAACCCACATCAGTGGAGAGTTGGTCTAAAGAATCCATCGGCCTGACTTTTACCTCTTTGTTCCCTGAGAACATAAAGCAGTCATTGGTGTCCATAGTGAGTTCTATTTCCTGTGGGTACGGAGTGCGATTGTAGAGTATGTATGTTAACGATAGAAGGGACTTAACCATGCCATAGGCAGGCAGTCGTAGCTCCACAGACAAGGGAATGTACTCTGCATTGACAGTAGGCAGGGGGAACATGGTGTCCACATACGGAGTCTCCTCCCCTGTTTTCCTGTTTTAACAGATTAATGTAAAATATGATTATTAATAAGCACACACTTGATAAAGAACTGAATGTCAAAATAAATAAAAATTTACAAAGTTCATATTAGACACCCAATAAAAAGAAAGATTTTAAAAACTGTTCAAAATCAAACAAACTACAGATTGTAAATGTACTGAGTTTAAAGATAATATCCTAATGATCTGTACATGAATAAACTCATAAAGAAATGAATAACCTCATAAAAAAACAAATTTGAAGATCAAAAATAAATTTTAATTTACCGTCTCCATGAAATAGAGTATGTTCCTAGGGACACGGCTGATGGTGTAGGGTTAACTGCCATCAGACATATACATTCAGTGGCACACTCTGACTTGTTCAGTGACACTGAAACAAGACAAATATGTAAGCTGAATTTCAGAAAAAAGATCTAAAACAAGGCCTGACTGAAACAAAGCCAACTACTATAAGTAGAGCTTATATTTCAAAAACAAGCTTCTGCATTACCGATAATGTTCAATATCAAGACCCGTCATGTTTAACTATTGTCCACTTACCATTTTGCAGCTGTGACTGTGTAGTTTTATCTACATGACTGATGCTGGATGTCTGAAATATTACATGTATATAAAATAATGGTTAAAGATCTCTATTGTCTCTAGTTCTACATTGACTCTTCAGATTTAGGTGACTAATTGATATCTGTATCGTCTCTAGTTTAACCCTGACTCACCATATTGAGGTGACTAGTTGATATCTCTATTGTGTCTAGTTTTACCCTGACTCACCAGATTGAGGTGACTATGGTTTCCTTGGTTACAAATTCGCAGCATTCAAGATTTTTACAAAAAGGAGGGTTATTTTCTATATTTAAGTAAATTAAATGTTAATATAAATGTGTATTTTCGCCTGAAATAAACTTTATTTGATCCAATAATAAGATTTTACTAATATATCTTTATTCAAAATCTAACATTTAGCAGCTATGTTAGCTGTCAGTTAAATAGAGTTAAGATATCTACTACTTAGCTGCTAGGTTAGCCGATACACTGTTGAACACACCTCCTGACTCACCAGATTGAGGTGACTTGTTGATATATCTATGGTCTCTAGTTTTACCCCGACTCTTCAGATTGAGGTGACTAGGTGATATCTCTATTTTCTCTAGTTTTACCCTGACTCACCAGATTGAGGTGACTTGTGGATATCTCTATTGTCTCTAGTTTTACCCGGACTCACCAGATTGAGATGACTTGTTGATATCTCTATTGGGTCTAGTTTTACCCTGACTCACCATATTGAGGTG